TGAGGCAAGCAATCTTGTTTTCCTCCGTTCCCAAAAACCAGAGTCCCTCTTCAGAGAAAATAATCCGCTGGAAATGTAGTGGCAGAGAAGGAAGTTTCCAGAACCCCTGAGTGTCAAAGGAAAGTGGAGTCTGGGGCCCAGGCCGCCCTGAGATTGCCCCACATGGGTCACACCAGGAGGAGGAGCACGCACTTGGAGTTCCGTGTCCAGGTAACCGAGTCAACAGGAACCACGGCCTGATGACAGAGTGGGCGCTCCCCATGGCAGAGGCGACCCTGAATCCTGCCTAGAGCTGGCCCTGTGTGAATTCTGATTGGAAGTGGGAGTGAAGCGGGAAATCAGGTGTGTAGGAAGGTCAACCAGAGGCCCTCTGTGGGTATGGAAACAGCAAACCCCACCTTCAGGACAATTCGGGGGGAAAAAACAGAATTAGGATGAAAGGTCACTTCCTGGCCCAGCTGCAGTGGTATTCGCTGCTAAGACCCTGTGCACCACAGGCCAGGACCGTATGGAGGCCCAGGTTTGATTCCTGCCCACGCCAGACGTAATCCCAGCAACTCAGGAGGCTGAGGCAGGAGGGTGTGAGCTCGAGGCTGCCCGGGCAGTGCAGCGAGACCTTCTCTAAGAGAGCCCGGAGGCACGGCGTGTTCGTGGTCCCGGCTGGGAGGCTGGGGTGGGGCAGAGCCACGCAGTGAGACCCTGTCTTTAAAAACGTCAGTCCTTTGCTGGAACCGTGGCCGAGTGATCACTGCCGGGAAGGAACGTGTTACTTTCCAGTTCCACATCGTTGTTCCTTTTATTGTCCTCCAAACACAAAAGCGTGCCGTGGGGAGAGGTTGGGCCCGTGTGTACAGATGGGGCCTGTCAGTTTGCTAGGGGCTAGGCAAACAGCAGCTGTGCCCTGGTTCTCGCTAGTGCCCATCTGTAGCCAGGGCTCTGCTTCCTTCATGTCCCTGCAGCAACCTCCTATGCACTTCCAGCCTCGGCCAAAGCTTGGGGGGCCCTGAGTCCCTGTTCTTCACAGAGGGATATGTACTAGGCCCTTGCCTGGTTCCCCAGACCTGGAGGTTCCTGGCAGGCAAGGCTATGTGGAATTACATGGGTCTGGCACCCAGGCCTGGTCTGGCATAGCCAATGACCACTATGTGCATGAAAGGAAAAACAGCAGCCAGAGGCAGAGGACAGCCTGTGCTCTCTGGTCCCTCATCGGGACAAGTGTCAGCAGGGTGTGCCACCCCAAGCTTGCTTCATCCCATGGCAGTGCCCAAACGTGCCTCTCTGGCTGAGGAAGGATCCGGGCCCTTGCAGTAAGCCCAGAAAAACGCGCTTCCCGCAGGCAGCCAGGCGGGCCCGATTCTGCATGCCAAGGGCTTTGTGGCATTCCCTACTACCCAGAAACCCAAGGTAAACGCTGCTGAAAAGATGAGATACTGGCGCAGCAGGGGAGGCAAGGATTCAGCTGCTTTAGAGTGAGGTCATTTTGTCACATCCAGTTAGGACATCGGGCCAGTGGGGCCCTGGGCTCAGCGCCCGCTGATGCTGGCTGGTTGGCAGAGGGGAACCGAGGCTGCGATCAGACTCCTGAGGCCAGGTAGGTGCAAAGACTCGTCACACTGAGACGGAGAAGAGGCGTGTGCTTCAGGGCCAGCCCGTAGCCTAGTGGCTAAAGGAGCTGGATCTCACATGGCTGACAGCGAGGTTCAAATCTCGGCCCTGGAAGCTTGAAAAACAAGTCGGGCGTGTGTGTGTGTGTGCCCAATTCTTACCAGGGTGGGGGAATCGAGAAGAGTGTGGCCCGACCACCCCACCCTCTGCTGAGCACACCCAACCTCTGGCAATTAGAGTAAAAAGGTCAATATTTCACTCTAATGCCACGTGTCCTCACAGGCCTTGAAGATCCGAGACACCCGGGAACCAGGCTGGTGAGGCAAGCAATCTTGTTTTCCTCCGTTCCCAAAAACCAGAGTCCCTCTTCAGAGAAAATAATCCGCTGGAAATGTAGTGGCAGAGAAGGAAGTTTCCAGAACCCCTGAGTGTCAAAGGAAAGTGGAGTCTGGGGCCCAGGCCGCCCTGAGATTGCCCCACATGGGTCACACCAGGAGGAGGAGCACGCACTTGGAGTTCCGTGTCCAGGTAACCGAGTCAACAGGAACCACGGCCTGATGACAGAGTGGGCGCTCCCCATGGCAGAGGCGACCCTGAATCCTGCCTAGAGCTGGCCCTGTGTGAATTCTGATTGGAAGTGGGAGTGAAGCGGGAAATCAGGTGTGTAGGAAGGTCAACCAGAGGCCCTCTGTGGGTATGGAAACAGCAAACCCCACCTTCAGGACAATTCGGGGGGAAAAAACAGAATTAGGATGAAAGGTCACTTCCTGGCCCAGCTGCAGTGGTATTCGCTGCTAAGACCCTGTGCACCACAGGCCAGGACCGTATGGAGGCCCAGGTTTGATTCCTGCCCACGCCAGACGTAATCCCAGCAACTCAGGAGGCTGAGGCAGGAGGGTGTGAGCTCGAGGCTGCCCGGGCAGTGCAGCGAGACCTTCTCTAAGAGAGCCCGGAGGCACGGCGTGTTCGTGGTCCCGGCTGGGAGGCTGGGGTGGGGCAGAGCCACGCAGTGAGACCCTGTCTTTAAAAACGTCAGTCCTTTGCTGGAACCGTGGCCGAGTGATCACTGCCGGGAAGGAACGTGTTACTTTCCAGTTCCACATCGTTGTTCCTTTTATTGTCCTCCAAACACAAAAGCGTGCCGTGGGGAGAGGTTGGGCCCGTGTGTACAGATGGGGCCTGTCAGGACGTCTCGGGGAGCTGAAGCCCCTCAAAGTCCTCATGCCCCCCACAACGATGGCTTTGGCTGAAGACCCTTGGAGGCGTTCTTCCCAGATCCTCACCTGCCCTCCTCCACCCCGTCGGCCCCCACAACCCCAGGGGTGCCCAACGCCCTCACCAAGCCCACCTGGGATGAGGCAGGGGTCGCCCTCCACGGGCCGCTGGCCGCCGTGGCTGTGTGCAGGAAATGCAGGCAGCACGGGATGTGCCGGCACGATTATTGTGTCACTGTGGCTCTTTAATGTCACTGCATCCCGCGGGAGACATCGTAAAGCCGTTTTAATTATTTCTTTCCCCTGCTGAGAAACCACCTCTATCAAAATGGCTGGTCTGAACCGATCCTCGGCCTAGCAGCAGCTGGTACTGGGGGGATAGGAAACTGTTTTTGGAAACTTTAGTGATGGCATTCAATTTAATATTAACGACAGGCTCACTGGCTCCGACCTACAGCAGGGCCGTGGAAGTCCAAGCGAGCAGAGGGGCCACGTGGCTGCGAGGGAGGCGGGGAGAACCCGGGGAAGGAGGGCGCGTTTCTGGGGGTCCGGCAGGTTTGGGGGGGACACAGTGCTGGACAAACTGTAATCAGGAGTCAGTCTGGAAAGAGCCCCCTACGCTCTGGAGTTGAGGTGACAACAGGTAGACCGCCTGGAAACCAGTGGCCCGCATTTCCAAGTCTAGGACATCCCAGAGCTCTCGAGATGAGACGGGTCCTCAAGGCCCTCAGTTCAGGCCTGCGCTGAGTCCCCAAATTCACGTACTGGAGTCTCAATCCCTGACCTCAAAACGTGGCCGGACTTGGAGGCATGGTCTTCAAAGCCCATCAGGGTAAAATGAGGCATCTGGCTGGAGCCCCCTCCAACAGGGCCAGTGTCCTCAGGAGAGACGGCAGGGTCACAGATACGCACAGAGGGACGGCCGTGCAAGAGCACGGGGAGGTGGGGACGGCGGTGTGAGAGCACAGGGAGGTGGGGACGGCCGTACGAGAGCACGGGGAGGTGGGGACGGCCGTGCGAGAGCACGGGGAGGTGGGGGCACCCGTGCGAAAGCACGGGGAGGGAGGGGCGGG